AGCGCGTAACGATACTTGGAGCTTTGGCGGTCTATCGGTGCGACCGGTGCGTAAGCTATGCTATTAAGGGCGGCAAGTGGGTGCATCTGTCTGGGCAAACCTGGGCTTAGTTCCAAAATCCTACTGCAAATAGAGATTCTGGTTACTCAGAATGGTAGCTCCAACCCCTTACTCTCTCTCTCTCTCTCTCTCTCTCTCTCTCTCTCTCTCTCTCTTTCTTCCGTCCACTTCTCTTGCAGGATATTCACTGCCGAACTGGCATCGGGAACCGTTCAATGTGTAAGACCGATATACCCGGGCCTTAGCTAGCAATATTACTTCGAGTGCTGGAAGTAAACGCTTATATTTCGAGGCGTCCCGTTCGAATCGCCATGATGTGGCGGAAGGGAAACCGGATCTGCGAGTCGCGGATTATTCCGTGAACGTCGCCGCTCGCCTCCATTTATATATTGGTCGACGATGGTCGATGGTAGTAAACCGATAGCGTTAAGAAGCAGTAGATTGCACAAACCGATTCCCGGACGCGAAATTCGCCGAGGCGCTCGCTCGTCGCAACGGCGGTTCTCTCTCGAGATAATGTCCGCTGAGTAATGCGCGCCGGCGGTAACGGCGAGCAAAGTGCTGATAAAATATATACATCTGTAAGGCAACTGACTGAGCGTCCTTTTAACAGAATCCTTGTTCCATTACGCGATCGCGATCCTGCGAAACGAATTGTCCGCCATTAATGAAAAAGCGTGAAAGCTCTCGCGAGAATATCGCGCGATGGCTTCTTAAAATGCGTTGAGATTTCATCGAGCAGAGGCGGATACAACTAGGGTTGCCACCCGTACTTTAAAATAAAGTATTGTACATTATTTTGGACGTACATACTTTATATTTTGTAAAGCAATAAAGTGCGCTAAAATACTTTGTTTTACGAATACTAAGTTTTCATTAATACGTTCACGGCGGATGTCATCGTGTCACGTATATGTGATTTATTATTATGAGCGCATTCCGTTTCACGCATTGAGCGCATAGATCGCCTGGAAATCTATAGTTCACGTAACATATATTAGAGGAACAAAGCTTCTCTGAATTTAATTAAAAATGAGTTGTTGATATATTTAAATTTAAATATCGGTTGTAAAGACGCTGTAGAAGTCTATAAAAAAGACAAACTCTTATTAGATATTGCTAAAAGTAATAAATATATGTATGGAAAAATAAATAATATAAAAAATATATGTACTTTTTTTTTATTTAACGTACTTTTTTTTTCGTTCTCAAAAGCGTTACATACGTTATTTGTTTAAAAAAAAAGTGGCAATCCTAGATACAACATATACTTCTTATCTCTCTCTCTCTCTCTCTCTCTCTCTCTCTGTTACTGCAGATTATACGCTTATCAGAAACACTGGTGTAAAATTGTGATGATAATTTTATCCTTGACGTGCATTCCGCGATAGTACACTTTCGTTATTTTTTTAGTTAATCATTTTATTGCATTTCGATGTATCTTTTACAACAGCAAAGTAGATATTACATCGAGCAAAATTGACATCGTTCCTTATCATTAATATTGCTGTACTGCTTATCACGAACGTTTCAGCAAAAAACTCTTGCATGTTTGCATAATTCTATAATTTTATTTATCTTGATTTGAATATAATTATTTTATTTTATGACATTTATGATACTTATACGAAATTGCACAATATCTGATACGAATTTATAATCATATGATAAATTATTTTAACTCACTTCGCGCTGTGTGTGTATGTGTGTAAATTTGAGGATCACAACGAAATCAACGAAATCTTAAGTAAAATTGATGCGACGTTATGGGATAAAGAAACATTAAGCTCACGTGTTTCGATGTCTAAAGCGATTTTCTCCCTACTACGCAGGAAGGGTCGAATGCAAAGATGTTATTCTTCTTCTTTAACTCATACATATTTTTTCGCTGAAACGTTCCCTCCACGCTTTTACCACGAATTACAAATCATCTTGCACGATAATGCCAGGGGACTCCCCCTGCTCTTAGAAAACTCCAAGACTTGCGGAATCTCAAGTGAAATATACAACCGCCTTATTCTCTAACGGATTTCTCGTTATATTTTTTTGTTACGTTTAAGTAAATAGATTTCTTTTCATATTTAAATAAAAATTACTTGCACAACTTCAAAGTATTTCATGAAAACGATGAGAGAGAGATCTTGTACATTTATTCTTTCTCTACGAAAAAAGTACACAATTTGACACAAATTCTATTGCCAGAATATTCTCATCGAGAATTCAGCTTAACTTCTATCGCTCTACAGCGATCACGTACAATACACGCGTATAAATCAGTTGGAGAACTCTATCTCGAACTTGGAAATCGCGTCATTAGGGTTCATTGGTGGTAGGTGAGATCGTCGTTAAACCCATTGACGATAAGTACAGATGCTTCGAGATCTCGTAGATTCCGCTTCCTCCACCTTTTCTACTCCGCCTTCCCGCTCCATGTTTGCGTCTCTCTCTCTCTCTCTCTATCTCTCTCTTTCTCTTTCTCTCTCCGCCCTGTTCTCCGTTTCTCTTTTCCGCGAGTTTAATTAGGCTCCGCTTCGAGATATCGCAGGATCAGCAGCTCGTTAGCATGTTTTAATTGGCGGCTGTCAGAGAGATCCCTCCTTACGATAAGCGTCTTCTCTAACCAGTCTACTGTTCGGTGTGACAAGACTCTACATATACTTGGATACTACTTACTCGCGAAGACATTGCGATCGAAAGGAGGGGACAGGGCGGGACGAGACGACGAAGGTTTGGTAAGAGGTGAGCTTAGAAAGAATCGTACATGATTTTTTATCGCTTAATTCCGTCCGTAAATGTGATCCGGAGTAGACCGATCGAGATTCGCTTTATACGTTTGTGTGTTCATGGTGATGACCAATCTGGATAGAGACGTGACCGGTAGTAAGATTAACAAGGTATCTCGGTCTGATTGTCAGTATTGATCCCGTTGGCCCTTCAGCGCCAACATGTAGTTTTTAACGAGCTTATTCGTAATGATTTTTAACTATGTATGTGTTTCCACGAGCAATTTATTTAACTGATTGTGAAATAATTTTCTTTTTATTTTCTTCCGCAATCAACACTAAAGCATCCGTTTTTCACAATTTTTCTCGTGAGCATATCGCAACACATTACTTAAAACGCTTTTTTAAATTCTGGTGTACAATTCATGTACAGAAAAATTTAGGAAGAAAAATTAAAAAAATATATTCTTAAGGTGCATCCGACTTACACAATATTAAAGAACTTTATTACCATGTGTTTTTTGTCATTTGATTACGAAAAATGGTTCCTATTTTTTGATACGACGAATGATATATTTCCCTGAAATACTAAACGCTCTTACATTTTCTCGGATCTATGCATTTGTGACACGTTCTTCGTATTCGGGGCGCGCCGCGCGTTGTCGGATAACGTTATACCTCTCACGTTTCCCACGAACGAAAGAATTATCGAGCGATAGATTTATCGCCCCGCGCGTTCCATTCTCTGTTCCGCCGCCTCCATTCACGCATCGCAAACACACGAATCGCGTAATCATCGTAATTTTGTTCCATATCACTTGGGTCGTGCGCGCCGACGATTTGATCGTCGCGTGATTGATTCCCATAAATATGCATTCGTGCCTCTTTCGCTGCCCGAAAGTAACGCTTTTAGTCCGCGTTCGCCCCGCCGACGCACAATCCATCCCTTTCCCTAACCACAGTACCACTCTATGAACGGGCACCAAGTTTCGCGGATATTTCACACGACGCGGGACCGTGTTCGCGATCCCCGTGTCGTGCATTCCAGGGTCGGCGCGCATCCGGCCTTAAGCCCCGGTACGTGACGAGGAGTATTTGCGGGCGCGTTACCAGCTCCCCGCGCGTGATCAGATTACGCGTAGCCGCGTAAAGGCTTTGCCAGTCCGAGAATGCGACGATTGGCGTACGTGAAAGCGTTTACGCGAACGTTAATCGACTAATTAGCGATGCGTTCCGCCGGAACCTTATCCGGCGCGACGGTTTTTTTTTCCTTTTTTTTTATATACTTGTCCCCCTGTAACATATCGTCGTTTGTAGCGGCGAAAGCACTGCGTAGCGTAAGCATAGCTAATTGGCAAGTCAGTGATAAACTTTAGTCAAATTGTTCACGAGTTTTCGAATCGCCATAAATTCAGGGAGTTTAATTGGACGCCCTATTCAGGAGATTTTACTGGGGATTCGTAATAATCCAATTCTATACATTCGGTTTAAATGATTGCTTTTGTTTCGAAAACCGTTGTCCTTAAATTTTTATCGTTTTACGTTTATTAATGTTGTATATGTTTTGAAAAAATGCAATCGCAGAATTTACGAGATTTCTCTGGAGAGATTTTATTATGTATACAATTCTAGCTGAATGTTTAGCCGGTTATAAAGGAATCGGTGCTGTGGCTCGTCGTCGCGGTACTTTATTAGCGTAGAATCATAAAGTAAAATACGTCTAGATGAAACATCGCTGACCTGCTTTCGTTATTTGGACCACAGATGCTGCAATACATCCTCTCATGCATATTCCATTGCGTTATGGAAATGTCGCGTTAACTCGTACTAATCTTTTACATTGCGCTTCGCCGTTACAATAGAACACTTGTTACACAGACACCGCTTATGCATATGTCACGAGGCCATATTATAGCGCGCGCCCGTATTATTGCATTATCCATTTTGTAAAGTTCGTACCGCCGTCGCTGTTTCCCGAGAGTTCATGAAAAATTTAGGATTTTAGTGGATAACAACTAAATGATTCTTTGTTGAGAGAGAGAGATATAGAGATTAATATTTATTAATCATAATTGTACTTCTTTCCCGACTAATTATATTATGTCAGAGACACGCAAGGGAGTCTTTTTTACGAGAATCAAAATTGAAATTCGCGTTGGAACGGTATGCACTTTTCGTTTCCCGACTACAGTATCATCCGTATTATGTCCCAAGCAGATGCACACGTCCCGAAAGAAGGAGAGACATAGAGAGGAAGAAGGGAACGGAACCCCACTACGTATGCAAATCCGACTCCGCCCTGAATAAAATATTAACCGACCAATCGAATGTGGTGGTGGGAGGAAAGGAGAGAGGAAGTAGACGGACGCGAGTCTCCCTTCATGTATGTGAGTGTCGTTTTTTTTTCTCTCCGAGAATACACTTTCTTTTTTCGTTACTTTCTGCGTAGGCATTGCCTCCATATGTATACATACGCAAATGTATGCGCGCACACGCATCGCTTGCGCGGGTAGTAAAGATCCTCTCACGATGGGGGCCTCCTCTCTCTAACTCTTCCTCTACACCGTGTGCTCTACATCTCCTCTCTCGCTTGCCACGTGTTCCCCGAGGTCCCTTTAAATCGAAGACCTCGTTATCTCAGACCGAACGGATTCTCGTTAGTGAAACTTTAATTATAACCACTTGACGGTGTCCAGATAGCCGTCTCTTCGTTCGTCCGAAAGAAAGGAGCGCGACAAGTGGACGGTGGAGGAGAGGCAAAGCCAGAGAAAAACGGTGATGAAAACGGATTGACGCTGTTAGAAGCTGTCTCGAGTGCCTTACTAACAATTAAGCTTTTTAAAAAGACGCGCGCTTGCACACAACAAGTCGATTCTTGTGCAAACGTGGTACATACTTTGCCAAGTGATACGAGAGAGGACAATGATGAAGCAAAGTCTTGAGAAAAATGAAGGAAGTTTCTTTTGTTTATTACTTTGTGCTTATTATATATTATGTAACTGATAATTACCACGTTGTGAAAGAAAGAAGTGAAAAAATATCAACGAGCTTTCTATTTAAATGTTATATTCAAAGAGCTTCCGTTTAGCATTCAACGTTATATAATTACAGCAGGTTTTTTACGATTCATATTATTTGAAATTTGAGAAAAAGATCTTTCGTTTATTGATCTAAAAATTTTAATACTTTCTTACAATGTTTAAATGCATTATTAGATTATTATCTATGCAAAGTTAACGATTCGTGAAGCACATTTTCATGATGTGTTCTTTCCTTCAAATCGTACGAAATCATCGTATTGTGAGAATTGTAAATTTTATTCGAATTTGGCTAATTTACACATGCTTCGCAAATACTCTCCTTTTTCTGACGAATGCATGAGACGTTGGTCGAGGACCAATCGCGCCGAGCCCTTGTCGCGTAAAATTTAATTGCGTCCAAACTCGCACGTCCGTCGAATTTCCACGGCGGCGGTGATGGTGGCAGCGGTCACGAGTGATAAAAGAGAAAGAGAGAGGGGAAAAGTCGCGCAGCATGTTGGTCGTTGGTCGCAGATCGCGAAGTACCGCTTTTCACCTTTATTCGAGTCCGGTACAATCGGGGCACCTGTTTAGCCAGGCGCGAAATTACGTAGTTTCGCGCTCGCGGCTGTACGAACTGCGCGAGAGACGGCGGTTGGATCAGCAATCTCACCTATTCCGTTTCGAGAAACAAAATTTCATTCCTCTTCCGCGATTCTAATGAGCGGTTGCCGCTGTCACCCTTCGCTCGCTTTTGCATTGCGTGATTCCGGATTGCGACATTTGTGTGATGGTTGCTGTTGCCGGAAAATAAATTAAAAAATGCACTCTGATGTATGCAACGCGAGGATATCTTGTTAGGGAAGCGTTTCGTCATGCGTATCGTTGTTTTGATTAATTATTAGCGCGTGCGTCCGTCGATTTTTCGATTACGCCGTTCATGCGACAAAGCGCGTCGAAATCCGCGCATCGAAATTAATTAATGCTAATTCCCACTGTAGTCGGTCGATCATATTTTTGGATGCAGAGGAATGATTGTAGCGAGAGCAATGATGATGTTACATGTACTTTTTTCCGAGCTTTAACAAGTGACAGCGCGAAGAAAGCGAGAAATAATTAATATCGTGAGCAAACTCTTTTAATCCTGTCATAAAATGCAGATGATTATGTTTCGTTGTGAATTAATTAATTTTTATTGAAATAAATTATCTCGTTGTACATACGGCGTGGGTGTGTACCGCGTGATTGTATGTTAAGTCTTCGAGTGGGAGGCGAGTTAAATAGTATGCTTAGAGCACACGAGACGTATATATAATTTTTTATTACAATGGTAATGAAATAATCTCGTTGTAATTAGCGGCTTGAAAAATTGCTCACCTACTTGCTCGTTATGCCTTCGTCATAATGCCTCTTTCCAAATAAAAATGCATAATCTTACCGACATCATTACGGCGTGGGAAATATTAAATACTTGCCAGAGACACACTCGCAATTAACACGTATATCTGCGAGGCTCTAATTATATTCGAATTTCGTTTCTGTAACGCGCATGGCTATTTAGCATAATTATTTACCGAGGAAAATGCTTTTTCCGCAAAGATATATTTTTTACATTTTGTTTGTACTTTAATTTCACTAATATTGTGCTCGTTATTTAAGATATTTTATTTCTTTATATTTCTTCACAATATTCATACTTACTTTTTCACAAGAAATTCAATTATTTGAAGCGCTTACGAAGGTTGATTACTATCGGTATTTCCTATAATAATGCGTACGATACTGAGGCAACAAGCTATATCTCGGCGCCTCCTTTTTAAGAGTAAAGTACTTTCCTAATCCGTTTTCATCCACTTCATCCAAAAAACGATTGGGAGGAGGCGGTACTCGCGAGGGAAAGGAGCATGCATTCGAACCCGGAGAATCGTTTCCGGTTCTCCTGGGACCGATGACGAGGGCAAATTTTCGAGGAGATTCCCGAAGAGGAACGAACCTAATTCCCCCGGGCGCTCCTTCCACGGCAAATTGGGTAGTAAAGCGGCAGTAACGGAAGGGGTAAACGAATATAGCCACGGCAGCTCTATCGCTGATAAGGTGGTACGCATAAAATTCGCGAGAGTGGCCCTTTTTTAACGGAAGAGATACACCGGCATCGGTAGATTGTCGTCGCGTAGACTGCGTCATTTTAACAGACAAAAAGAGAGAGAAAGCGAGAGGAAATGAACGAGACGGTCGTAGAAATTATCGTGTCCTGGACGACAGAAATGATATCCGCCCCGTGAATGAATGTCCCCTCTAGGCGCGCGATACTTTTTCTACGGTCAAAATCGTTAACGCCGGAGTCACGCGACGCACGCGACCGCTCGTCCTAAATCACGATCGATCGGAACGATCGAAGCGCGACGGCACTTTGAAGATTTACAGGCCGCACCACGACGACGATTTCGCCTCCTTCCTTTCCTCTTCTGCCGCGACGACGAACGCCTCGTCGTGCGATCGTAAACACCGGTTTACCGCCGCATAAGCTTGTGACTGCGTCCCACGTGAAACGCGGTCTGACAGATCGCTCCTCGTTTTTTATTTATACGGTCTGTCGCCGGGCGCTC